TAAATAATCATCAGCATTTTAGTCTCCACTCTTGGCAGTCCGAGCTCCAGCTACTGTCAACAACCATCAAGATCAGAGGAGGCCAGAAAAGAGCATTCAGAGAAGAAATGGTCGAGAACATCAAAGATAAATCCATGTTGATTATAAATGCCTGTTCAAACGGCTCATTTAGGATCTGAATGCAAAGATATTTTGTTCTGTAAACAGCCATCAGTGCCACGCCACTGCTACAAAAATGTGATTGCTATAAAATATCTGACAGCTTTCAGATTTTTATTTGCTATGGAGTTTGCCAACATTACTGTAAAACCCAAGCCTTGTGTCAGCATGTGCTATGGGAAAGAGACTGCTACCTTAGCCACGCTCAGCCCTCCAACTGAAATGGTGCTTGGACCAGAATTCTGACTTACCTTTCATATAGAAACTTTTTCTTTAGGAATTACCACTGAAACCAGTGTAGCCATTACAGGCATAAAAGAGCATTCAGAATGAGTCCAAGCGCTAGGACTAGGTGTTATGAGGCACATGTGAAGGCCCACAGAAATTAGTAAGAAGTATGACGTGAACATAAAAGTCTGCCATGGGCCCTGCAGTTACATGAACTGCTCAAGAGCAATGCCACTCTTCAGTGTTAAGCAATATTCTACAGGTATCTTTGTATGTAGAAATATTTTTACATAAAAATATACTTTATTGACAGTATAGAGATGTATTTGTACCAAGGTTCAACAAACTGAATTTCACTTTCAACTATGTATGTATCTCAGCTGTGTGAATCAGCCATAATACAGTCTGTCACAGCGTAATGTGCAAGGATATTTATTTATCTGCTGCAAGAGTGCTCCTGCTTATCCGATGCATTAACCTGCAGACACACATGATGCTTTATTTAATATTTCATCTGCATAGGTCAACTGTGTCAAGTAGCTGCCAAAGAATTTAAACCCCACTTTCCTATCAAAATTACTGTAAATATGATGAATTTATAAATTCTACTTTTTCATCTTTATAAACAACATGCTGAAGAGTACTTGTCAAGAGATTACAGCTCAACAACTATTCTCTGGCATAATCCTACATTTAAGAATTTTTAAGTAGCTTTGTACTTTATTGGAGTCTCTCCTGAAACAGTGAATAAAGTCAGAGTCACTCATCGTGTTTGCTTCATTACTAATTGATAAACCAGCAGCTTCAGATGATGCCATTCCATTTAATGAATTACTGATGATCCCCATTGACTGCATCTGTATTGAAAACAGGAAAAGAAGTACAACTCATAACAACATCCACGACAAATCTTTAAAATCCTGGTGCAGAAGTCAGCCAAGGCATTGCTATGTTGGGCTGTTTGACTTCAGACCTTTCATATACTTGCTGAAGATATACGTAAAGCTTCTTATGTAGAGTAACATTGTCTTTTTATCTTAGCGGTATCTCTACAACCTTTAGACTAGACTAGATCATTTAGACTGATCTGATATACTAGTAATGCAAGAATACTGGGGAATAACTCCATCTGAGTTGAAGTAGAGGAACCCCTGTTTGGTAATCATTATTTCCTCTTGAAGGAATATAGCAAATCAGTCTTGAGATTTTTTTTTTAGCCATTCATTTTAATGAGTTTTGTGATGGGAAGCTTCTAACATGAGCATTCACCAGTGCTGTTTAACATGGTGAACTCTGCAGGCTGTTACCACCTCTCAGAGTAGGAGCCTCACAACAGAACCAAGCTTAGAATTAGTGTCTTACAGAAAAACACAGCTGCAAAATATTGGACTGCATTTGCATTGTTTGCTTCATTTTTAAATTCTATTTCTACCTTGTGGTATGTCCATGGTACAGAGAGGTCAAAACACCAAAGCTTTCCTTCTTAGTAATTCCTTCAAAGGTGTTACAGAAAAATAAAATTAAGTAAACGTACCAGAAATGTGTAGCTAGTTTAGAGTTTGATGGCTTGCTTGAGTTCCAGAATGAAGCATACAAAGGTCAAGCTTTGAGGCTGAACACCTCTAAACTTTAAGGCCATTTTGACCCAGAACCACAGCTGCATGTGGAGGATGGATTTTCCATTTGTAACTCTGAATCATCCTGATCAGGGCTGCATTTTAGAGCAGGTACAATTCCTCCTATTCTAGCGATGAGCTGCTTATTTTAAAACTTGTATTCTCCACCTGTGTTCATAAAGCTGAAAGGTGATCTGCTGGTGTAAAGTGTTGGTTTATTACTTTTTAGTGAGAGAGACACCTTGGACGTGTAGCCATTTCAGAGAATGGACACACAGCCCTCATTTGTTTAGCCAAAACTATGAATAAGTTTAGATATGAAAGCACAAGAAATAAAAAGATCAGGATTTCTAGCTGCTAATAAGAAGTCAGAAATGGAAAATTACAAAAATAACAAAAAATTACATGCAGTAATTTATATATGATCTGCCAGAATTTGGAATGGAGTTTTGAAATTGTTTTGTGACTGGCATCTGAGTAAAGCAACGCGCTGTTGTCTTGAAGAACTTATCCGAGCATAAAATTGTTGCCTTAGGAAGGAGCTCTTTGCAGCAGACAGCAGTGATACTTGAATTGCTTAGAATATAAATCCAAATAAAACTGAAAACAATAATTAAGTATTTGTCACAGTCTACCCACATCTCCTCTACTGCCCCAGAAAAGTCAAATTATTAATGCCTCATATATGAAGCTGTAAGTAGCTCTAGTCTTTGTACTTGTGTCTTTCTTTCATGTATTTTATATTAATAAAATATTGCTCTACACATATGGACATATATAATGTCATCTACATATCTGCCAATCCATAAACTAGGTCACATGCTTTGACTGAAGAATTCCTGTATCTGGATCAGAGCCTCTGTTGGCATTAAGGCTACAGCCCAAGCGAGGACATTGCCCACCCCCCCACCCCCCCGTCACTCATGCCACATGACCGGTATAAATAAAAGCTACATCAAAAATCTTGCCTTTTCTGTTACTTTCTCAACTCCAGTCTTCAGCTCATGTAGCATATTGCTGATTTGCTTAGCTTTGCTAAGGCTGTCATCAGGGAGCTCTTGATGGTGCTCAATATGCTGGTTAAAGTGGGAAAGTGGTTCTTTCCAGGCTTGCAAAAGTTTCAGTATCAAGTGAGTTAGTTCTTCTCTCTTAGAAGTTAAAACAGTAAAGAATTGCTGTGTTAGTTTGCAGCAGGTCATATGAACACTGTTGGACAGTCTCATTGGGAAATCTCAGCAGGATTAAGATTTACATCTGCATCTCAATAGTTTTCAAATAGTCAGAATTTAAGGGCCATTCTGTCTCCGTTCATTTGCTTATATAAAGCAACACCCCAAAGTTGTATTTGTCTTGTTTTCGGCTTTCTTAAACTCCTAAGCTCTGCAATACCTAAAATAGTGAATCCAGCATTAGCAAAATGGTGGCATTCCTATCAAAACTATTTGGTACTGAAAAAGTTTTCAGGGTCTGCTAGATGTCTCAAAAGCCCATGAAGCCTCATCTAGACCTCTCGTTGTGCTGCTATGGAAGTGCAGGTTCTTCCTCACACCTGCCTTGTTGGAGCTGTGTCGGTTAGAGGCTGGCTGCAGACACGCTTCCCAGAAGGTGCCTGGTGGTGGGGGTGGTTGCTTCTCCAACAGAAACTCAATGGCCGTGGGACCTCTTTTGCAATACAAGTTCAGAAATAAGGCTGACTGGTTAAAGCTTTCTGAAGGAGGCAGGGCCTCATTTCCCATTGCCCTTCTAAATGTCTTGGGGGAAGCTCCTCACTCCATCACAACCAGAAAGCAAAGTGTAAACATTCATCTCCGTCTGTCTCCTCCCAGAGCCAAAAGTTTCTCCCACTGCTATATCCTCGACTTTACAATCTGCTTTTTCTCTGTCTAAAGAAACTCTTCCTGCTCTTCTCTAAATTAATAACGATTTTTTTTCTCTTTGCCATTACATCTGTCTAAAACAATTTGCTGTTCTTTTCCCCTTACCTAACTACTGATTCCAAGATAATGACTGTTATTTCTTTCTCCCGATTGCTTTTTGTAATTTGCAGTGACTCTGATTAATTTATCTGCCACATGCACAGTTTTCTAAGTTTCCGTTCCACAGAGAACGCCACAACAAAATCAGAGGGATGACTGTCCGTCAGTCATTTGGACGGAGTACTACTGCACTACCCTTATTATTACTATTAAATATGGTCTGAGCATATGTAACCATATACAGCTTTTAAAATGCAACAAACTAATGATTCGTATGCAATACCTCTGTGATGTGCACTTGTTTGGGGCCAAAACTTATCAGCTTCTTCAATCGAAGCTGTTGATGAAGCATAGGAGGCATAAAAACCTCTCTGCCTAGCTCCAGCCCGACCGGGGTGCGGGAGGGACCACCGCAGCGTGACAGGTGATGCATTTGGGGGGCTCTGACGGGACGGGGGATTTCCCCCTTTCTTCAAGGGGGGGAAAGGAGGCGGTGTGACCCGCGGAGCCCCCTTCCAGCCCCCCAACCATGGCGGTGCCCCCCGCCCGCCCCATCTCCGCCCGTCGCCGCCGTCCACCCCCTTACCGGGATTTTTTGGGCGTACTCTTTGCCGTTGGGGGTCAGCATCCCCGACGTGTGGCACTTCCGAGCGGGCTTCCCCAGCTCGTTGTCACGGGGAGGAAAGTGTTTTTCCTATGGGGGAAGCAAACCTAAAAAGAGGCACCGGGAGC